CCCCCCCCCCGTTCCTGACACCCGGAGTGACCCCGTGGGGGGCTGCAGGAGGGACTCTAGGTGGTGCTGTGGCGTCTCAAACCCAGCACCACGTGCGCCTGGGCTTCGGCATAACCTGCTTCGGGTCTCAGGGCTTCCTAAGCCTTCAGGGGCTGCCCTCTGTGTTTGAAGAGCCCGCAGAGCCCGCAGAGCACTGAGCTCAGGCCTCTATCCCTGTCCCGCCGGCCGGCCAGGGTCCCGTAGCCCAGACGTGGCTGTGGCCAAACACACGCCCCGAAGCCGACCCCTTGGTCGCAACGCCTCCCCCTCTCCAGCTCCCGGCACCCGCTGCCCAGCCCGGCCTGCCGCCGCCCAGCTCCCCCACCCCGACACCCTCCTGGGTCTTCAGCCCGCTGACACTGATGGGTGCCCTTGGCTTGGCCTTTCCTGCTGTTATGGACGTCTCCCGCTCAGCTCCTGCTTCTCTGGCCGCTGCAGGCTGGGGCACTGCTCGCCGGAACCCAGGTCCTCTTCTGGGTGGTCACGGGGCCGTGAGCGCCCACGTGGGCTGTGGCCCCGAGGCCGGGTGGAGGCCGTGAGCTGAGCTGCCTCTCTGCCATGGGGGCTGAGGCCTGGCTGGTGGGCAGTTCCAGGCCGTTGCCCTCATCTCCTGCCCAGAGCTGGTCCCCCGCCCTCCAGTCTTCGTCAGGTCCCACAGCCGCCCGGCCTCTCCCTCTCCCAGAGTGCCGGTCATCCTGACCTGAGACTGTCACCAACCTCGTCTGCTTCTCCATAGTAGGATCTGAGACCCTGCTGGGTCCCCCAGCCGCAGCCCAGGGCCTGGACAAATGTGGGAACTAAAGAGGCAGCTATGTGTGTGGTGGGTCTAAAAGGGTAACAACGCAAACAGACACACAAGAGACAGAGACAGAAGGTGATGGCCCCACAGGTGACCTCTGAATGGCGACCCCGCAGGGAGGGATGAGGGGAGGAGGGCCAGGCAGCGAGGCCCGCGGAGGCCTCTGTCCTCTGGCCTCCGACGTGGCGCAGGCCTGGGTCACAGGGTCAGTGGGGTCATGGGAACTGTGGGCCGAGCACGGACCCCTACACTCCTGTCTTGGTGATGGGCACACCCAGGCACACCCAGCCTGGATGCCCCAAGGTCAGCGGGGTGTCTCTGTGCTTGTAAGGGCAGCTGGGCTCATGGGTCGTGGGGCTGCTCTGGACTCAGCTGTGGGTCATCCCCCAGGTCCACGTGGTGGTCGAGGCGGAGGGCAGAGGCTCCAGTGGGGAGAAGGGGCTTCTCTTTCCTGGACCCACACCTCTCCCTCCGGTGTCCACACCCAGGTTCTGAGGACACTAAAGGGCCAGGCTGAGCAGACCCTGAGGGCTCAGGCTGGACCCTCAGAACCCCAGACACCTGGAAACAGGCAGCCACTCCCTCCACAGAGCACCTGTCCCCAGACCCGCAAAAGGCCTGGGGCTTCGACCCACGTCACGTGTAGGGTGGCTGCAGAGGTGAAATGAACATGTGCTTCTGACATTCCCAGGGGTCAGCCAGTGCAGGCTAGCGAGAGGCGCTCCCTGCAGCCTTGAGCACCGTGTTCGGTCCCCAGGCCCACCCTTCTGAGCAGCCCCACTGCACCCACCTTGCACCTCCTTGCCCCGATCCGGGTGACAGGAGCTATCGGCAGGAGGAATGAACAGAGCTGAGGCCAGCTCCCACAGCCCCTGCGTCCGGGGAGGCTGCAGCTCCGTGCGTACTGGGACGTGAGCCTCCCCCAGGGCCAGCAGGGCCCTCGCTGGCCAGAGTAGCTGCAGAGTGGCGGTGCCCCTGCCAACTCCCAGAAAGCTGTGCTGGCCTCCTCCACCCCCTCCCCTTCCTCACTCCTGCCGGCTGGGGGGCCCTGCCGGGCCACCGATGCGCACAGTTGGGCCTGCAGACGGTCAGCGAAGGGTGGGCTTTGGGAGCCCAGGCTCCGAGCAGATGGGGGGAAACAGGCACGCCCTCTGGAGTTCAGGCGGACTGTCCTGGGGGAGCGGCGTGAGGAGTGCCCCCCCGGGGTGGGGTTTCCAGCATCTGTCCCTTCCCCCCCAGGCCCAGGGAGTCCTGATGCCTCAGCTGAGAGGGGAGGGTGAAAGCCAATGCAGCGGCCACCAGGGGTGTCCGCCCACCAACCAGGAGGCCAGCGGAGACCCGGACCCCTCCCACAGCACTCTTGCGACCCCAGGAGGGGCGGTGGGACTGGAGGCCGAGCCGCCGACCTCGCAGCGACCCCGGCCTCCCCGCAGCGCGGTTAACGCCGCAGAGGAAATCCCGGAGGCCCCAGGGAGGGGGCGGCCGCGGCGGGGGCGGGGCTGCGGGGACACGGAGCGGAGCGGCCGGTCCGCAGTGACCTCTGCGCGTCCCTGCCCGGTGTGGGGCCGCCAGCCGAGGGGGCGAGGGCCTCCCGGCCTCTGTCCCACTAAAATGAAACGGCGTGGCTCCTTCTCTGCGACTCTATTACGCACAGAAAAATAGGTCCCGGTCGGTCTGCGGGCTGCTCCCCTCCGACGGCTGCGTGGGTTTCCTGGCGTCTGGGGGCTCCCTTCTCACGCCCAGCGGGGCGGGAGGCCCGGGAACGGCGGGGGTCGGGGGCCAGGGCAGCGCTCAGGGGCACTCGGCCCGGTCGGGACCGCTGTCACCGGCCGCGCCGGGGAACCCCTTCCCGCGCGCGTCGGCACAGTGGGGTGCGACGCCCAGCTCCCGCCCGACAGCGGCGGGACTAGAGAGGACTTGGCTCACTGGCGCTGCGCACGCATCCGTCCGCACGCTAGGTGCCCCAAACGGGCGGAAGCGGATGGGAGTGCGGGACCTTGTCTGGCCGTTGCGGGGGCGGCCCCCGCCCGGTCCACACAGAGGGGATCGGATGGCGGGGGCTGGGGCCAGTATCTGGGGCTCTGGACTGAGGGGTGGGCCGGGGTCGTGCGCGCCGGCTCGGGAGCTCGCGCCCCGGGATTCCCCCCCC